AAGAAGATAGCCCATTTCACCATGCGGGAGGAGCTGGTGGGGCTCCTCATGAGGGCGCCGAGGGGTTGATGGGTGAGGACCTGAACTGGGTGAGCCTGAAAGTAGTGGCCCAACTTCTTGACAGTCCAAATGATGGCCAACACCGTTTTGTCCACAGGGGAGTACCTGAGCTCGGCCTCCCTTAGGGTCTTGCTAACGTAGAAGATGGCATGTTGGATGCCGTCTTCCTCCCGGATGAGCACAGAGCTGATGGCCGCTGGGCTAACCCCAAGGTAGAGGTAGAGGGTCTCCCCTACCTTGGGTTTGGAGAGCACAGGAGGTGAAGATAGATATCGTTTGAGCTCGTCGAAAGCCCCCTGGCATTCTGGAGTCCTTAGAAAGCCAGCCGTCTTCCTCATGATCTGGAAGAAGGGTAGAGACTTCTCCGCCGATTTAGATAGAAAGCGGTTGAGGGCTGCCAGGCGGCCCGTCAACCGTTGAACTTCCTTCAGGTTGCGTGGGGGCTCCATGTTGATGATGGCCTGGATCTTCTCGGGATTGGCCTCAATACCCCTTCGGCTCACCATGTAGCCCAAGAATTTGCCCCCTTGGACGCCAAAGGTGCACTTCTTCGGGTTTAGCCGAAGGTTGAATTTTTGCATGATGGCGAAGATTTCCCGGAGGTCGTCAGCATGGCTGGAAGATTGTTTGCTTTTGACGATCATGTCGTCAACATAGGCCTCCATGGTGCGCCCTAGGACGGCTTGAAAGACCCGGGCCACCATCCGGGTGTAAGTGGCCCCTGAGTTCTTTAGGCCGAAGGCCATCACTAGGTAGCAGAAGATGCCCTCGGGAGTCATGAAGGCAGTTTTTTCGGCGTCCTCCTCGTGCATGAAAATTTGATGGTACCCTCGGAAGGCATCGAGGAAGGACATGATCTCACACCCTGCGGTCTCATCCACCAATTGATCAATGTTTGGTAGAGGGAATGGATCCATAGGGCATGCTTTGTTGAGATCGGTGTAGTCCACGCACATGCGGAAGGTAGGGGGCTTCTGTGCGAGGACTACATTTGCCAGCCATGAGAGATATTTCACCTCCTTGATGTGCTTAATGGAGAGGAGCATGGCGACCTCCTTCTTCACAAATTCCCTCCTCTTGGCGGAGAGGGGTCTTCTTCGTTGTTGCACCGCTTTTGCCGAGGGGTCCACCGAGAGGCGGTGGGTGATGACCCTTCGGCTAATTCCCGGCATGTCCTCCGGCCCCCATGCAAAGACAGTGGAGTAGGCGCGGAGGGCGTCGGTGATACCGGTCTTCAAATCTTCAGGGAGCTGGGCTCCAATCTTCACGACTCTCTCCGGCTGGGCCGGATCGAGCGCAAAGTCTTCTACGTCCTCGGCCGGTTCAGCCCTCGGCCTTCTTTCCTCTTGGTCGACGGTTCCGGTGATGGTGTCAACACGGAGTTCCGTCTTGCTTACCTTCTTAGTGACCTGAAGATAGCAGGCGCGGGCAATTTTCTGGTTCCCCCGGGAGTAGCCAATGCCCCCCTCGGCGGGAAACTTGAGGCAGAGATGCCTCATGGAGATGATGGCTTCGAGGTCCTCGAGGGCTGGCCGGCCAAGGATGATGTTGTGGGCGCAGTCAATGTTGACGACGACGAACTCCACCTCGAGCTGGGCTCTATGGAGCCCGTCGCCGAAGATCACCGGGAGGGTTATTACCCCCTCGGAATCAATAGTGTCGCCGGTGAAGCCGGCAAGAGGGGTCTTAATGGGCCGAAGGGACCCCCTCTCCAGATGCAGCTCTCTGAAGGTGCTGAGGTACATTACATTGACGGAGCTGCCCGTGTCAATGTAAGTTCGGTGAATAATGGTGTCGTTTATCTCCGTCCGAATCACCAAGGCATCCCTGTGAGGAGAAGAAGTAGGAGGGAGATCTGCGTTGGTAAAGGTGATGGGTTCCTCCCTCAGTCGCTTTACCGGGGGCATATGAGTGACTTCCCCCACATAAAGCGATTGAGCCCACTTCTTTCGTTGGCTGGTGGAATCGCCCCCTGTATTGCCACCGGTGATCATGAGGATGTGGCGTTTCTTCTCCTGGTAGTGGGGGTACTCCTCCTCCTCTTCTTCCAAGTTTCCGATCTCCCTCTTCTTGCCGAGGGGGATGGTGTTCGGATTTACCCAGGCATTTACCTTTGTATGGTGCCCTCGGGGAGGTCCCTGATGAGAAGGTCCCTCCTGCCGAGGGCTCTGGACAAACTGGGACAGGTGCCCCGCCTGTATTAATCTCTCGATGGCCGTCTTCAGTTGATGGCAGTCATCGGTCCTGTGCCCCTGGTGCCGATGGAAGCGACAGTAGGGGAACCGAGGGTTGATAGCGTGTACCTCCGGGGGTGCGCGAGAGTCGCGCTCAACGAGGCCCCTCTCCTCGGCAAAATCGAGGATGATGCTGACGGGGTGCGTCAATGGTGTCCGAGGGCGGTCCAGGAGAATGGGCTGGGCCCAAGTCTTAGGGCTGCTCTTATAACCTCCCCCGGGCTTGGCTTGGCCTTGCCGAGGGCGGTCATCAGAGGGTCCCGAAGCCTTGGGGCGATTTGGAGGAGCCCCCGACCCTCGGTTATGCTTGTTGTCAGCCCTCGGGGGCTGCTGGTCCGGATGTTGGTGATACTTCTCCACCTCCTCGGCCTCAGCATACCGGTCCCCCCGCTGCAAGGCCCTTATGTAGTCGCGGGGGGGGGTTCAATGATGAGGCTCCTTGAAAAATTGCCGGTGCGGAGGACGGTTTGTAGGAGGGCCAGGAGGGTCCCGTCATCAGCGCCGTCGACTTTGTCGGCCTCCGTCCTCCAGCGTTCCAGGAAATCCCGAAGGGTCTCATCCTTCTTCTGGCGTATTGTTAGTAGGTGGGAGAAGTGCTTCCTTGTGCGACGCCTCCCGGCGAATTGTGTCAAGAATCGTTGGGCGAGTTCTTGCCATGAATCAATGCAGCCCTCGGGCAGCCTGTTGAACCATTCGTATGCTGGTCCCTCTAAGGTGGAGAGGAACCAACGACACAAATATTCGTCTGACGCCCCTACCATCATCATGTTGTTCTGGTATTTGTTGTAGTGTTCCTGGGGGTCCGTTTTCCCGTTGTAGGGCTGTATGTGTTGCCCTCGGTATTTCTCCGGGATCCGGGCCGCCAATACCTTTGGGGTAAATGGCGTCCGAGTCCGGAGCTGGATGACGGGTTCCCCGGAGCCCTCGTCCACCCTCTTCTGTAACTCCTCCATCTTGGCCATCATCGCCTCGTACTTGAGATCTGAATGAGGGGTGGAGGTTGTGGCGTGAGCTTTGTTGGACTCCATCTCGTCAAGCCGGCGTTGGAGAGCCGCAATAATCTCGTCCCGGGGATCCTTCGGGAGGGTCTCCGCCCCCTGCGAACGAACCCGGGCCGAGTGGGCCTGGTTGATTTGGTGGCGAGCATCATCGGCATGAAGGGGTGCCTTGCCTTTGTCCCGAGGGGGACGCTCCTCGTCTGCCCTCGAAACAGATCCCCCGCTTTCCTGGGGCCTTTGGAGTGCTTTCCCCCCGAGGCGGTCTTGGGCCCCTCGGCGGTCTGGCCCTCCTCCGAGCCGGTTGAGGGCGGAAGTACGGGGCCTTTCCCTGTTGTCATTATGGCGGTCCCGGGACTGAACTTCCTGGGAGGACGTTTCTTGGGCCACCACCCCTTCGTCGTTTCTCACCCGGGGGGTGGGATTTCCGAAGGGATGTGGCAGAGGGGGAAGTATGATGTCTTCCCCAACCTGAGGGTGAGCTGGAGCCAGGGTGCCGAAGGCACCTGGGTTCTGGGTGAGTGTCTGGATGAAGGCGGATAGCGCCGATTGCACGTCGATGGTGAGAACCGGAGGGCTGACTTGGTCATCGCTCCGGTTTTTCTTTTTGGCCTCGATGCCGAGGCGGGCATCGGGGGCATTTTGTTGGATCTGAAGGCGTAGGTCGACAGTCGCCTGTTCCAGCCCAGCGATGACACCGCCCTCGGGAGCCCTGTGAGAGGCTTCGGGGGCGTTGACGTCGCCGAGGGCCAGGTTCTTGTCTTCCACGTTCTTTGAGTTGGCACGTGTCGTCCTCACCATTTTGATAGAGGGCTAGTGTTCTGTGTTTGGTCGAGGGGGAGGGTTTCTTACTCGATTATTCAACCTCTCAACGAGAGCACCAAATGATGGATAGTCTACCCGGGGGTATATATCCGAAGGGTTATTGCGGGAAGTAACTTAGAGAGAAGTCAGAGCAAGTAAATAAAAGTAGAGAGAGAGTGTATTCAGTATGAATGACGTTTTCAGCGTGTTATGACTTGGTTACAAATGGGGAAAAGGGGTGCTATTTATAGTAGCAATAAATGCCGGGCAGGGACACGTGTCAAGCGCTCATTGGCCGAGGGGTCACCTCAACTGGTTGGCGCTGGCAGCCGCATGTGGCCGCATTTAATGCGGCTGTTGGATGGGACGTCTGTGCGGGGTACGGTGATCTGTACGCATGTGAGGCGGATATCTTGTCGAGTGAGACGCCTTCGGCTATAGAGCAGTAGCCGAGGGCTCTTCCACCCGATGGCACCCCTGGTGCCGAGGGCTCACAGTGCCGAGGGCTGCTGTTTTCGCCGTTTTCTCCCAGTTTCTTAGTTTGCTTGAGAAACCCGTTCTGTGAGAATTTGGAGCCTTCGGCCAGGGGGCCGAAGGCACCCCTGGCGCGTTGTGCGGACTGCTTGGTACTCTGGGCGCTGTGATTTGGGCCTGTTGGGCCTGTTGGGCCTTTGATGGAGCAGTAGGAGTCTGTGGGCCGGGGGTTCCCGGGCCATATACTCCATCAGGAACATTATTTGCGTGATATTAAAAATCTGGCTGATGCTCTAGCTGCCATAAATTCTCCTGTGACCGATAATGAAATTTTGGAATGTACTTTGAATGGATTGAGACCTGAATACGCGTCTGTTGTGGGCACCATATCTTTATTCTCACATGAATTTCCGCCTGATATTTTACAACCCAGACTGTTAGAGGCAGAACAACGCGTACTCCATCAGCGTCGTCAGGAATCTTCAAATCTGCAGCAGGCATTCGGTGCACAGGCTGGTCCAAATCAGCCGGGTCTGCACCATCAGCAGCAGGCATACCGCGGCAGAGGAGTCCGCGGCAGAGGCGGTCGTGGCAGGGGAGGCCGCGGCAGGGGTCGCAGACAGTTTTAGCATTTTTATCAGCCAGCCTACGGCGTTCCACAGCCGCCGGTGACACCTGGATCTTCGGCCACAGGGGGTGCTACTGCATCGAGACCACCAAATGCTTCAGCGGGTAATTCTGTCATGTCCACTTTAAATATTAATGCTAAATTTACTTTTGGTACTCACATTCATTATGCAGGTTTTCCATGAGCTGAGGGTATTCTTGGCTCCGTTCCTTCCCCAGTTGTGTGTCAAATTTGTTTCTCTGCAGGTCACTCCGCATTACACTGTCCATCTCGTTTTACTCTAGCTTCTGCGCCTGCTTTGGTTGCTCCCAGTGGGGAATCCAACGATGCTCTGTGGTATCCGGACTCCGGTGCGTCTGCTCATATGACGTCTTTTGAAGGTATTTTGTCTAATAAATTTCCTTATGATGGCTCCATGACTGTTAGTGTAGCGAATGGTACTACTCTTCCTATAGCTAATATTGGAAATATTAGATTTAATACTCTCAGTCGCCCATTGTTATTAAACTCTGTTTTTCATGTGCCTCAACTTAAATTTAATTTAATGTCCAAAGCACAAAGCCCAGAGCAAAGAGTGCTCACAACGGCCGAAGCAGGGAAAACCCCATAGCGGTCCCACAACGGCCAGAAAACGTCAGAAACAGGAAATCTACTCTCCCTCACTTCGTCTACATCTTAGCTCAGAGAGTAGGGGACTCCTGATGGAGTATATGGGCCTGGACTCCAGGGCCCACATACTCGGAAGAACAGAAGGTACCACGACCGCCTGGTGGGACCCTCGTCGGCTAGGTGACCCTCATCGACCAAGAAGAAGTCTACTCAGAACGTGATCCAGAAGCCAGGAAGAGTCGGTGACCTCGTCGGCCGGGTCTTCGTCGGCCACGCCCTCGTCGGTCGTGCCCTCATCGGCCACGCCCTCGTCGGTCGTGCCCTTATCGGTCACAGATGTCCTCCAGAATAGGACTTTATACTTAATCTTTTCTATGTACTTTGTATCCGGACCATTAGTGGCCCTATTGTAAATGAGCCTCACAAGCCCAAGACTTGGGAGCCGAGTCCTAATTTTTCCTAGGCCTGGGATCGGTTCGGTTCTTGTTAAAATTTGATGGAACCGTATAAAAATCGTAGGCATTAAATTCGGTTCGGTTCTAGTTAAAAATGTAGTTCTTAAATTCGGTTTGGTTCTAGTTATATTCGGTTCGGTTCTTACCTTTTTTCGGTTCCTTATAAAAATTTATTATCCTCCTAAAATGAACACATTTTACCTTCAGTTACATAAAAAATTCAAATTTTAAATCATGAAATTATGACCATTACATTATGCATGCATAATATCTCAATGTTTAAATATATAAAAATATGCAAGTGCAACATTAAATTTAAACATAACAAAAATCTCGGTTTAAAATATGCATCAACTGGGTTCAATAGCTCCAAAGTACACATCCAGTAGTTCAACCCAGAATAATATTCTTCTACTAGTAATGCACAATAAGTAAAAAGTACGTAGTAATAAACAACGTAATCAACAGAATATTAATTCATTTTTGAGGTGAACTCCAATAACAAATACAATTACAAACAAACAATAAATATAAAAGTGGACTAAAGTATTAAAATAATAAATACTCGGATTGCCATGCTCCATAATATATAAGGTATATTATGCAAAACAAATATTTTTGACAAGAATTTTTTGCATGGAACGCCTATGGCCACCTCCATTTGAGGTGCTTTCGTGTAGAATTTTTTGATAAATTTGTGAGCGTATTCTAAATGAAACATAGATTATATATACCAAATTTTAGCTTAGAATTCAATCGGGAAGTGAGTTAAATTAAATATTGAAAAACATTGTGTTTTTTATATATATTTTGGCGTAAAGCTTTTCAATAATTTATTTAACTGACTTCCCAGTTTCATCTTAAGCTCAATTTTGGTTTACATAATCATTATTTCATGAACAACAAGCTCACAAAATTTCATCAAAAAATTCCACTCAGAAACACCTCAAATGAAGATTACTGATGCAATATATAAGAAGTTCGGTTCCTGGCCAGGAACTGGAACCGAATCGGAACCGAATCGGAACCGAACCGATGAAATACTATAGGAACCGAACCGAAAAAAAGTGAAGTCCAAAATTATAGGAACCGAACCGAACCAGAAATTTCGGTTCGGTTCATATCGGTTTTCCCGGTTTTACGGTTCCAACTCTCAGCCCTAATTTTTCCTATAAATACTTCCTCTGGGAGTGGTTGTAAGGGTTCACAATTCATTAATGCAGAGCAAATATACTACTTCTCTCTCTAGCTCTCACTTCTCTCTAAACCTATAATCTATCGAAAAGATATTAATGATTAAACTTGTGTGTTACATAATCACACATACCCCACCAACTACATACTCATCTTTGAGAGGCTAGGTGGGTGAAGTTCTTGGATTTGGCAGGATAAGTTTACCCAGAGTTTTGGTGCATAGTTTAGTATACATCGCCATCTCTTACGGAGTAAATTATAAGTAAACAAACGCGTTCTCTATCCCTACTCTCCAATTCCTCCATGTGCCTGCCCTTGTTAATTTCAGAAGAAAACAAGAAACGCATAAATTAAAAATCCAGTCTCGACAAGAAAAGTTGATCAAGAAAGATTATAAAGAAACCCAGAAAGGATAGGATTTGAGAGGCAAATCATCAATTAAATATGTGTTGCGATGGCGATTGTAGGCCACTGGGTTTCCTTCTGGGCTTACCCTTTGCGCTCCTCTCTCTCATCGTCTCTCTTGTCGCCATAGTTGTCTGGATTGTCGGGTCAGTCATCTCTTCTTCAATAATCATTCATCTCTTTCAGATTAACTATTATTCCACAAGAGTTTTGATGTAGCTTGTTCTTCACGAGACATGGATTCCATAATATTACAGTTTAAAATTCAATCGAGAAATCAGTTTTGAAGCAAAAGCACCTCGAAGACAACTATTCCTGATATGAAGTGTCCCTCCATATCCATAATATTACATGTTGCCATGTTGGGGAGGATTTACTTTAGGCTATAGTGGACTTAAATTGGGTTTTTTCATTTTTCATACTCCCTCCGTCCCGTTGGAATGTTCCCGGTTTGACCTACACACATATTAAGGAAATAAAATTACCAGGGTGTAAATTTTACTGTTTTGACACTATTTCGACACTGTTTGGCACTGTTCGACACTGTTTGACATTGTTTTGCACTGTTTGATCCTGTTTTGATGTAGGATAACTTTCCATTTAGGGAAATGAGAACTTTCCAACGGGACATCCAAAAAAGGAAAGCGAAAACATTCCAACGGGACATGGGGAGTATGATGCTTTGAGCCTATTACTCCCTCCGTCCAGTTAAGATTGTCCAATTTTTCTTTTTGATCCGTCCTACTTAGATTGTTCTATAGCAAATTTAGTAAAATTTTGGTGACTCTAAATCATTTTTACTTTATTCTTACTTTATCAATTCAATATCAAACACATAAATCATCTTTATTGGTACGTGTGTCACTCATTTTTGTATCATTGTTAGAGGGACGGAGAAAGTACACTTAGTATTATTCAGTCCAATTCAATTCAAATTTCAGGATCCATTCCTGATTACATGTACTAGAAAAGATTTTACTTGGTTTCTTTTTTAAATTATATAAAAAGCATATATGTATAATTTCCTTTGACTTGAAGATGATATATATTTATGGATGTATAGGTTGCTATTGACCTGTATATGCCCGTGTTGTCTTTGTTTGACGGTGGTGGTGGAGATGGCGTTGTGGCTCATCAAAGCCCCTTTACATGTCATGGAATGGTTTACTTCTCTGATCCCGTGTTGATCGCGAGGCCTTCACTGTTCTTTTCTTTTCTCTTCGTTTGGTGGGGTGGGGTTGTTCGTTTATCATGTTTTCTTGAGTTTTTGTGACTGATTATATTAATACATACTCGTATGAAATAATATACATTTAGCTCTGAAATTTAATTATCTCTGTATTTATTATGTTTTCTTGGGGTTTGTGTGAATGATTATATTAATAGATATGAGAAACTAAAGATTTAGTTCTGAAATTTAATTATCTATGTACTTTTTTTTGTAATTACTTTCTCTTTGCTCATAGTATTCATTCTATTAAATATCGACATCTTTCACCGGGATGAGTTTTGAACATGTGACCTTCTTCTTGAGATTGTCATCGAATCACAAAATGTTTAGCTTATTTATCATTAGTGTGTATTTAGGGAAAAGGTGAAAATAAGCCCTCGAACTAATTGAAAAAATGCAAATCACCCCTTTTATAGGAGGCTCTGTATGGTCGTCGTCATTTGGAAGGTTACCGGTGTAATTTTTTGATGAACTTTTTTGAGCATCTTCCTCATTAAGTCTAGTTTACCCATATCAAATTTCAGGTAAAAATTCAACTGGGAAGGCAGTCAAATGATTTTTTGAAATATACTGCGCTTTTTAACTGCGCAGTTATCTTCAAACATTTATTTGACTGCCTTCACGATTGAATTTTTAGCTGAATTTTTTTATGGGTAAACAAGACTTAATGTAGAAAATGCTCAAAAAAATTAATCAAAAAATTCCACTGGTAACCGCCGCAAATGGCGACGGCCGGACAGAGTCTCCTATAAAATGGGTGATTTGCACTTTTTCGGTTAGTTCGAGGGCTTATTTGCCTTTTTTCCCGTGTATTTATTATTAGTGGTAGATAGCCTTTACTCACACCTTCTTGAAAAGATTGATCAAATTGACATTTCTTTATCTAATGGTGGTCAAGTTTGACAAATAATATTTTTTTAATAAAATATTCTTTATTAAAAAATATTTCACAAGAGTATAAAATTTATAAATTTAATGGAAATATAATATCTAAAATCATTGTTCAAACTTCAATATCATTGACCAAAAAAGCCAATATGATCAATCTTTTTGGGAGTAGTAGTTGACAAGATAAACATGAGTTTTTGCCATTTTAGTCCTCCGACTATTATATCTTTGACACTTTTGGTACTCAACTTTGAGTTTTTTCACTTTTAGTCCTTGACTATTGTGCTAGAGCATGTTTGGTACCCGTTATTGAAAATTTCCATAGCTAGTCCTTCGACTTTCATAAAAGTGACGGTTTTTGGTCCTTCAATTATTACTCCTTCCGGATCTTTTTAAACTTCACAGTTTGACTTCACATTGATTAAGGAAATAAATTTGACTTTACTGTAGAGTACACTGTTTGGCACTGTTGAGACACTGTTTGGCACTGTTGAGACGCTGTTTGGCACTGTTTAACACTGTTTTGTTGTAGATTTCTTTGCCAAATAAGGAAATAAGGAAGTGTGAAGTTTATTTTGGACCGTCCCAAAAAGGAAAGTG